CGCTCTTCCGATCTCTACCATCTGTTTTGTTTACAAAAACTTTATCCGATGAAGCCGCTTCTATTTCAATATTATTAGTAGAACCTATTGTTGTAGGATTACTTCCTACTTTTAATTGTGCATTTAAAAAGTTAGCTGTAAATAAAACAACTATTAATATTATTTTTTTCATGATTTTGTTAATTATTTTGATTTTTAAAAATTTTTCTTTAAGTTAATCTATTGTTTTTTTTAAAGAAAAAATGGGGGACCTCTTTCTCCATGTATGGTTAAAAGGGTATTAAAATCTTTTAAGTTTTTATTTATTGGGATAAATTTGTTTTCGTCTACAGCATTTTCGTGAAGATACAAATAAGGTTTGTTTTCTTCTATAAAATCATTTGAAATTTTATTTTTATGTTCGTCCTGAACCTCAATATTTTTATTTAATGAATTATTAATAAAAGGTTTAGAGTATAAACTACATAAACAATTTTGATTTTCAAACAAATTGAGAGCGGAGGTAACTTCTGCTGATTTTGTAGCTACATAACATTGCTGTTTTGTATGTTTTGCAATAACTTGAAGTTGGGTTAATGGCAAATTTATTTTTTCTTCTTTTGCTACTACCAAACGACCTTTTCTTATTGGATTTTTTCTAGCGAATAATACTTTAGAAGAACCCATTTTATGCTTCACATACGATGAAGTTCTATTGTAATGCTCTTTCTTAGTTAGTTTGCTTTTTACATTTTCTGAAAATTCAATAACACCTGATTCAGATTTTATTGTATTTTTTCCAAAAAACTGAACATTACTTTCATCGTGAACGACTACATTATCTGCATTTTCAATATGTACTTGACCAAATATAGTCACAGACTGTATCAATAAGATGATACAAAGCGCATATTTAAAAATATTGAAATTAAATTTCACAGATATGATTTACAATTCAAATGAAAATCAATCAAATTTTGTGCCAAAACCCACTTAATATCAACATTTTTCTATGAAATCAAAAAAAGTTGATTGAATCAGAAATGATTTCAAATGAAAAATTACCATACCCATAGGCTTCTCCATCAGCCTCTAAGTACATTGTTTCATTAGAAGTTATGTTTAATGAAGTACTCCGTTCTGTTTTTATGCCCATCCTAGGAATATAGCTCCCATCTTTTAAGAAAAGAATGTTTTTAAGCAAATCTATAAAACTTA